TCGATGCCATTTCCACAAGACTTCTGTTGGCCATCATATGGACAGTTAGTCTTATATTATCCCTGCCTTTTATGGTCACAACAGATGTCTATTATTTTGATTACACCAATAAATCCATGGTATTTATGATAGAGTTTATGTTAAATGCTAAACATTTATTAAAATTGTGTTTATAAATAAATTTGAGTTTTATTTACAGTAAAGTAATTTAAAACTTACTGTATTTGACTATAACTTACAAAAGACTTTGTAAAATAATAAATTTTGGTTTATAACAGGGAACTTTTTTGGCATATTTTACAAATAAGCATATTTGGCATGTTTTATATTAATTCTGCTTGCTTATAGCTAAATTTTACAAAATATTAATAATTAGAATTTACAGAATATTCTATGCCTTAGGTATGCATTAACGATGAAAACTATTTGGTTGACCTCAACACCGACCACCTGTTCCGACAGATCACACGATTAATGCGATTCAGTGTCCAGTTTGTGATCCCATCCCTACTGATCGGCTATTTTTGTGCCAAAATTATATTCCACTTAAACTCAACACAATTACTGAACCGGAAGTGGATTATAACGAAACGATTTCTACTCGTTTTCGCCATATTTCTCGTAAAGAACTACTCGTTTCACATGAAGTCCACCAGAAATATAGTCAAAGATATCATGGATTCACGACAAGTGAACTCCTGTTATCTAAACACTGAATACTATGTGTTTTACATTATATTCAATACGAGCTCATCGTTCACATCACTCATGTATTTCTGGATGAGCCGGGAGTTTAGGGCTCAATACAAACGGTATGTCCAGCGATGGTTATTTTGGAGGAGTTCCCCAAACCGTGTCTCAGTTATTGATACTAATGGTACAGGTATTAAGTTATGCAGTAAACATTTATCCAGTTAATAAAATCTTGGTGCTATGTATCAGAGTTTGTACACAATAATAGACGATCGCCAATAAAACAGTGGTCAAGGAGTTCCAGTTCAGCGCCGTTTGCTAAATGTGTCACTTGATTATCTGGACTTACAAAACAAAATGAGTATTTAAAACTATTTATCTTGATCATAAATTATTTCTAATTAAACAATAAGCTTTAAAATTTAAAGATTTTTTAAATACAGACATTCTGAATGTAATTTTACTGTTAAAAATAATTTATATTACATATAATGCTGTACATTTTCTACATTTAATAAACACAATTTAAATCAAATTAATTGATCACTATTTTGAAAACAATAGCTAAGACCCAATGATATTCATATTTTCCGTCTTATTTGTGAGTAGAGTAATAGTCAATAGTATAACAAAAGCCACCAAAAAGTTAATTAATATAATCGATAGGAATATATTAGGATAGGTCTCGACATAGGAGCCCAATATGAATGGTATGAATGCGTTTAATAGACCGCAATTGAATATCATAACTGTCCCCAACTTGTTGGTCACTTCGACATACTGTCCCACAAACGCAAATATAGCGGGCAATAGGGCTGAGAAGCCGAAGCTCATCATAAGACTACCCAACTGTAGGGTGAGGTACGAGTCGTGTCCGACGGACAGTATGGACAACGAGACCATCAATACAATCATGTGATACGAGATAATAGTCTGCGGGTTGAGCCTCAAGGATATGAGGACTGTGAGGGCCCGGCCTATGGTGTAGATGATAGCCATTTGGACGACCAGTCCAGCCGACTCTGAGGCGTTCAGCTGCAGAGGAATGTATTGGAAATAAGTGGCACTGAATTTGAGGTAAATGTTGTCCGACACGAACACTATGGCCACAAAGTTGGACAATAGGGGCACCAGTAGGCTGTGTCTGATTTTGGTGCTCTTGAATATCATTATCTTCTGGTGACTGACAGTTGGTTTAGTCTTATCGGCCGATTCTGCCGGTGCTGTCGGGGGCGGCACTGGTGTCTCACTATTGTATGGTTTGATTAAATACATTACGAGTAGTAGTATTGGACCTGAAAATAATAGACACATTATTATAGTATAGAATTTTGTTACAGAATATTCTGTAAACAAGTTTATAGTATAAAGTCTATACTATAAATCATATCAAATGGACAGTTAGTATAATATTACCGATGCATTCCAGGGCCCCGATGATCAGGAAAGGTGTATGAAGTTTATCACGTCGTATGACATTGTCTTCCGCGAGCATCGCTTCCAGAGACTGGTCTTCAGTGGTATTACCCATCGTATTAATGGCACCGTTATTAAGACTATGTATGAGTTCCCCGGTGAGGTATGGCCTGTCTATCAAGGGCCCAAATATGGTGCCGATGCCGTACATGAATTGAGACAACTGTAGTATAGGAGCCGAGTTTTGCTGCCATATCTCGATCACCCATACATTATACGCGCTAAACCAGACCCCGGAGCCCAAGCCGTACCCGAAAACGCATGAATAAAAATGTGACAAATTTTGTGAGAACGGCAACAGTGCTGTCGATATGCCCATGAGACTGATGAATATGATCAGGATGATTTGCCGGTTCACATATTTATATAGGTAACCAACTGTGCGAACATAAATGTTTAATAATTAAAATACTTGTATTGAATTTACATTACTGTACTTTGGCTTATAGTTAATTCTTACTATCTATCTGTAATATAAGTTTAAAATATGTAGGGTATAAATAATGTGATTTTAGACATTATTTCAATTATGTAAATAATAAAAGAATAATTATTTATATATTTTGATATATTTTGTAAATAAAAATTAAAATAAAGTTTACATTATAAATTATTATTATTAATTATAAAACAATGAAATTGAAATAGCCACTCAAATATTTTGAAAGGTACTTAAATTTAGGTAGATTATTTTTATTTAATCTTTGCAATTTCATAGTACAATCAGTATTTCTGAAAATATTGATAAATACCGTATACTTTGATCGCATAACAATTACTAAGAAAAAAACTTTTACAAGTAAATATACCTGTATATTTTTATTCCTAATTAATAAAATTATT